ACCTGACCTTAATGCCAAGAACTAGAGTGCTTAAAGGAGCTGCAGACAAATTGGCAGCTAGTAACCCATTAAAATGGATAAAAACACTTGGAAGCTCTGTGATTCCAATGTTGATTGTGCTTTTAATCTGTGTTGTTTGTCTTTGTATAGTCTGCAGATGTGGATCCTGACTTCTGCGAGAGGTAGCTCACCATGACAAAGCTGCCTTTGCTTTTATCAATTTGCAAATCAAATAAGGGGGACACGTTGGGAACAGGTCCCCCAAAATCTGGCCATAAACTGGTCCCAAAACTGGCCATAAAAAAAATCTCTGCAGCACTGTGACATGTTCATGATGGCTATAACGCCCATGCTGGAAGGTTGTGGGTTTACCAGAATGAGGGCAAGGAATACCTGGCCCGCCCTGGGTGGAAAACTGCTTAAAGGCATTCTTAAGCCACAAACAACAGCATGAGCAATCTGTGCCTTAAGGACATGCTCCTGCTGCAGATAACTAGCCAAACCCATCCCTTTATTTCGGCCCATCCCTTCGTTTCCCATAAGGGATACTTTTAGTTAATTGAATATCTATAGAAACAATGCTAATGACTGGCTTGCTGTTAATAAATACGTGGGTAAATCTCTGTTTGGGGCTCTCAGCTTTGAAGGTTGTGAGACCCCTGATTTCCCACTTCACACCTCTATATTTCTGTGTGTGTGTCTTTAATTCCTCTAGTGCCGCTGCATTAGGGTCTCCCCAACTGAGCTGGTCTCAGCAATAAAAGCCACTCCAAAGTGAAGGCTCCTTCTAGCCCATGCACAGATATTTGCTTAGTATATAGGCTGACAGCAGTGAACTATGTAAGGGTTTTAAAACAATGGTTTAAATTTTTATATTTTAAAGATAACTTTTCTGTTTCTTTCATATTTTTCTTTCCCCCAATATTGCTTCATATGCATTTAGCATCGATGCATATTACCATTAAAACATAGGACTCTCAACAAGTCAGAAAGCCACTAGGAGTAGGTGCAGCATTACCAGGTACTGAAAGGGCTCTTCCTTCCTACTCTTACAATCGAAGCTACTAGTTACCGGCAATCATTTTAAGGAAAAGCTTCTGGATAACGTTTGCCATTCATATCCTCTGTAGGCACTTCTTATTAGCAGTTAGCATGTTTGGCGTCATAAAAAGAGAAAATACTGGTTATTGATTATCTACTTTTATTAGGGTCTATGGTGTATTTCTTGTGAAATATGATGGTTCTCATTTGCTGATAAATTTTATTTTTTAAATAAAGGTATTAAAAGATATTTTCATAGTGCCAAGCAATATGGTGATGCAGTGGTAATAAAAAATAAACTATGAGGTGTCCTGAAAGTTTCAGGACAGTTTTTAGCTTTAACATAGTGTGCTTGTGCCCTCCAGAGCACTGCAGCATACATATACATGCTATAAACCTTTACAAAATATCATTGGAAAGTTTAATTGTATTTCTTATTCTTTTTTTTAAATAGACGTTGTGTCAGTATGTTGCCCAATCTACAGTGCAATGATTATTCAGCGGCACAGTCATAGCATACCACAGCCTGGAAATCCTGGCCTCAAGCAATCCTCCCATGTCAGCCTACCAACTAGCTGGGACTATAGGTGTGTACCTTTGGCTTCATTTTGCAGAATTTGAATATTAAGCATTTAACTTTTTGTCTCATCAATATCTGCTATTTTTAAGAAGGATTGAAACAAAAAGTTAAAGTGTTAAATTTAAGGGTTAATATTCAGGAGCTAGGCATGCCTGTAGTCCCAGCTACTCATAAGGCTTAAGCGGCAGGATCACTTGAAGCCTAGCATAGGAGGCTGCAGTGCACTGTGATTGTGCCTGGAAATAGCCATTACACTCCAGCCTTGGCAACATACTGAGACCCTGTCACTTTAAAAAATGGTAAAACTAAATACATGTAAAAGAAACGGGGGGTCGGGGGTGGTGGCTCATGTGTGTAATCCCAGCACTTTGGGAGGCTGAGGCAGGCGGATCACGAGGTCAGGAGATTGTGACCATCATGGCTAACACGGTGAAGCCCCGTCTCTACTAAAAATACAAAAAAATTATCCGGGTGTGGTGGCAGGCACCTGTAATCCCAGCTACTCAGGAGGCTGAGGCAGGAGAATGGCGTGAACCCGGGAGGTGGAGCTTGCAGTGAGCCGAGATCGCGCCACTGCACTCCAGCCTGGGCAACAGAGCAAGACTCTGTTTCAAAAAAAAAAGAAAAAAGAAATATAACAAACCTTTCAATGATGTTTTGTAAATATTTGTAGCATTGACACTTCTACAAGTATCAAAGCTTAAAATTACACTAAGCCTTTTGGAATTGTTGTATTTTTATAAAGTGCCCTTTTCTCTTTTGAAGTAGTTCTTTGCAGGGCTTTTATCTGCATTGATCACCAAAAATTATTTTCCAGAGATGTGATAAAGAATAGGATCAATTTTAATGCACATGTAACAAATTCGAAGGAATTGGACCTTAATAGTAGTAGATGATCTAATACATTTTGTTATCCCGCATGTTAACCTGGTGGCAGGTATCATATTTTATGCTCATAAACCTTAGGAATCTTACCTCCTAAAAAAATTATCATTTATGGAGTGCAGAGCTTAGAGATTGAAGTATTGACTGCAGTTTTATTTTCAAAACATAAATGCTACAATTTAGGTGGTTTTTATTTCTCATGCTGACATTAAAAGAAAACCTAATAAACTATTTTAATTAAAATGTGACTAGTGGGCCTGGCACAGTGGCTCATGCCTGTAATCCTGGTACTTCGGGAGGCCAAGGTGGGTGGATCACGAGGTCAGGAGTTTGAGACTAGCCTGACCAACATGGCAAAACCTCGTCTCTACTAAAAATACAAAAATTAGCTGGGCGTGGTGGCACACACCTGTAATCCCAGCTACTCTGGAGGCTGAGGCAGGAGAACGGCTTGAACCTGGGAGGCGGAGGTTGCAGTGAGCTGAGATCACGCCAGTGCACTCCAGCCTGGGCGACACAGCAAGACTCTGTCTCAAAAAAAAAAAAAAAAAAAAAAAAAAAAAAGGGACTAGTGTGTTTATAACTCTTCTGTTCACATAGTGTTACATCTCTGCCTACCTTAAATGATTCAAGTCAGTCTTGATGTGTCTTAAAGCATTTTTATAAGTTGCCTTGACCATTCACAAGTTGGTTTAATCCATGCCTCTATTTAAGACATAATATTTGTTTTCTCTGGCTTAAGCTCTTTTCAATTTTAAGATAATTTATTACACTTAAACTCACTCTCTGGCCACAGTACTTAGTGGCATAGTGCATTAGATGGCATCTTTGAATAGTTGGTTATTGTGTCTGAGAGGAAAAAGTACATTAGAATATAAAATTAGGTCAATACACCAAAGAGAAAGGATTCCCAGGAATAGTGCAGAATTAGAACAAGGGTGTTTGTGGTTTTCAAACAGTTACACAGAAAAAAGCATGGAAGTACAGAAAGTAGAATTAAAGTTGCTATACAGAGATTATGAAATTATGTGGCTTAGACCACATAATTTGACTTTAGCACACCGCTTTCAAGCTTACATTTTAGTTAAAAATATATCTAATCACTGTTAGTTTTTTTTTTTTTTTAAGAACTAAGAGTCTAGCCACTCAGCTTCAGTGATTCTCACTAAATCCTAATAATATTGGTATATTTTCATCTACTTTAATTCTTTAGTACCTAAGATAAAATCTTTAAATAACTCATCACCTCATCTTGATCAATTGCAGACTAGAATCAGTGATCTGACTTAAAAGAAAAAGTCTATCATGAATCCCTGTTTACAAGATGCTTTGCACCATATAATATGCAATAACTAAGTAGAGGTCCTGATATATATGAGTGGTCAAAGGTTTAAAAACCAGTTTGAGAGAGGGGCACTGGACATAAACCCATGACTTCAAGAGTAAGTCAGGGCTGGGTGTGGTGGCTTATGCCTGTAATCCCAGCAGTTTGGGAGGCTGAGGCAGGCAGATTACTTGAGAACAGCAGTTTAACACCAGCCTGGCCAAGGTGGCAAAAACCCATCTCTACTAAAAATACAAAAATTATCCAAGCATGTTGGCATCTGCCTGTGGTCCTGACTCCTTGGGAGGCTGATTCATGAAAATCGCTTGAGCCTGGGAAGCAGACGTTGCAGTGAGCAGTGATCATGCCTGCACTCCAGCCTGGGTGACAGAGCGAGACCTTGTCTCAAAAAAAATGAAAAAAGAAAAAAGAAAAAAAAAAGAGTCAGTAGAATAAGGACTACTAACATTGCTTTCCCCTTTGGCTTGAATTCTAGAAGGCAATATGATCATTTTGATAAATGGAAAATTGGGTCAATTTAGAATAAGAATATAAATGTGATGAAAGTGGGCAGGTTCTCCGAAACTAAGTTGCTAGTAGGGTGGTAACTATGGCAATTTTCTTAGAGTTTGATATCTGGGAGAGATTTGCTGTCTAACATAAGACTATGAAAAAGATTATCTGACTACCAAAGCTCAATTTACTTTCATTTTTAGGGTTATTTCCACTTTTGTAATACAGACACCAGTGAAATTTTCTCTGGTATTGTGTGAACTAAAACTTTTACCTCTTCATTACAAGGAAAAGACAATAGATCACTATCCATCAATCCAAAAGAACAAGCTACGAAAACATGGATGACCTGGACCTGTGACAGACTAAATGGCACTGTGTTTGACTCGTGGATCTGACACAAACTAAGTGGGTCTGGATAATTCACGGACACTCACAGGTCCAATCTCTTAATAGTTTCAAATGAGTCACAAGTAGATGACCATAAATACCTTTCGTGAACCATCACTGTGGAATTCTGTGAGGTTAAGATATCAAGACTAGTGTGACTAGTGTCGCATGTGGTTATGGACAGGTGTGAGAGCAGTGCAGTGTCTCTCAAGAGTGGGAGTTGTTTGGAGATGGAGGAAACAGGATTTCCACCCTCTGCCTGCTTACCTCTTACCCATAGACCTCCCCACAAGCTCTCCATTGAAGTGGCCTCCTGTCTCCCCTTGGTCTTCTCAAAGCAGGTTCAGGCATTCCACTGTCACAGACTCTTGTAGTTTCCGGAGATAGTGACATCACCAGATCCGGCTCATTCTGGCACTGTTTCTGGCTGTGCTTCCTGCTGTCTGGGCTTTTCTGCCTCTGCTCCGAAGCTCTGGAGAGTAGTAAGGTCAGAGGGGTGTTCTCTTTCCAGGAAAGATTCCTGTTCCCAGTGGCCCCCTGCTTCCTAATTCGCAAGAGCTGCTTTGCTTTCCAGTGAAATTATTTCTTGGGAGCTGGAACCAAGGGCCCGGGAAACGAATTTTAGGGACATAAACCTGGTCCTCTGGAATTCAATACATTGGACTGAAAACATAGACAGCTTGGTAGTGCATGAGTGGCTAGGAGCCTTTGTGTGACCCAAGGGATCTGACCAGACCCTACCAGAAAGCCTAAAATATATGACACAAAGTAAGGTTCTACCCACATTCGCTTCCCATTATATCCCTGTGTATTTTGGGTCATGTCTCTGCTCAGTGCCGTAAAGACTGCAGGACTGGTTTTAGGCAGGTGTGATATTCGACAGCACCTGAGACCGGAAATAAATCACACCTGTCCTTGAACCTAAATTTCCTCACTGCTAGCTTGTGACCTGGGCGCACTGCTCCACCAACCTCAACCTCGGCTGTTATTTTTAATGCAGACGGTTATACCGGCCTCAGAGGGCTTGTGAGGTTTAGGTGAGTCATCCAATGAAAAGAACAAAGTGTCTTCTAAATACAACAGCAGCTGTCACTCACTCAGGGTTTAGTAACTGCACTTGGCTGTTTGCTTTACAGGTACGACTTAACTAAGTTTCAAAACAACGCCATGAAGCAGGCATTAACACCGTCATTTTCAGGCGAGAAACCTCTTACCCGGTCCCTGCCCTCGCCCCCGCTTACAGGTGACACAGGTGGAATTTGCCCAGCTCTTTCGGTCTCCACAACTCGGGGTCTTGCCACAGACCCGGCGCCCACGAGTTCTGGCACTTCGGTCAACGTTTAAAAACGGGCTCTCCTCTGCCGCCGCGGGCATGGGCTTTTCTCAAGGTTCGCACTGAGCACCTGTTCCTAAAGGGGGTGCAGCCGCACCTGCGTCCCCGGGACCTCTAGCATGGAGGGGGTCGCGCCTGGGGTCCACCCTGGCTTCCCGTTCCCACCCTCTGAATCACAAGCCCAATTCTCACTAGAAGTTGACAGGCTGTGGAGAGACCTGGTCTCCCTGCGTTCCACTTCACGTGCGCACCTTCCCGGCCTGCGACACCCAAAGGCCCCGGGGCCACCTCCCTGCCCGAGCCCGGCGGGAAGCAACGAGCTAAGCTTGCGCATGCGCAGATGTCATCCAGAGGACCCGTTCCTGGTGTGGCGCGCGAGCGATCAGGATTGAAGACTACGTTTCCCAGAAACCTCCACGCCACGACTTACTTTGCAGCGTTTTCTCTATTGGATGACTGGAAGATGTCCCTGACAGCCTCGCCTGCCCAGGTTCAGCCAGAGACCCTAGAGGTTATCGGTGAAGTTTGAACTTTGCTGGCAAATACAGTGCGTGGTCCTCCATCAAATCCCGAATGGAAAAACAGCTGCCAAACACGTTGGAAACAATTTGGGAAATTTGGATGTGTACTGGCAATTATAAATATTAAAGAACATTGCCGTTATGCTGAACTGTTAAGTGGAATTATATTGGAAAATACTAGTTTTTATAAAGACATGCACAGGGAAGCATTTAACATTGACAGGATAGTTAATTCACTTTACAATTTTTCAGCAAAAACTAACAAAGCGAATATGGCCAAAGGTTAACTTTTCTTACATCAAGGACGTGCATGGCTATAGATAGATGCTCATTTTACCGTTTCCTACGTTTCTGGGTGCTTACACATTTTTCAATACAAAGGAAGAAAGAAAGAAAAACAAGGATCCTCCCTCCATCAATTTGCCTTTTCAACTCAAAGCAGCCCCTAGACGTTAAGGTACACACTAATTTGTCTTGGGAAGAAGGCTGTGAAATGTGATTGCACACGGAGCACAGCATTACTACAGAAGAATAGTACCTGTGACCCTGACCAACAGGGCTTCAGGAAAGGGGAACAAAAGGGGAAAAAAAAAAAAAACCTTCAAAAATACATAATAAATGAAAATACACACAACGCAAAACGAGAAAAAATGGCTATGGCCGGGCGCGGTGTCTCACGCCTGTAATCCCAGCACTTTGGGAGGCCAGTGCAAGCGGATTGCCTGAGTTTGCTACCAGCCTGCGCAACACGGTGAAACCCCGACTCTATTAAAATAAAAAAAAATTAGCCGGGTGTGGTGGCGGGCGCCTGTTAGTCCCAGCTACTCGGGAGTCTGAGGCAGGAGAATTGCTTGAACCCAGAACTCCGTCTCAAAAAAAAAAAAAAAGAAAAAAGAAAAGAAAAATGGCTATCAAGCAAATCATGGCTCTCCCAGGGATGTCCCTACTTAAACCTGACGTGAGCACTTGTTAATTTTTTTAACCAAACCAGGGAAATACGGTCATAATATCATAGGAACATCTTTTTACTAAATTATACATATTGAGCATTTATCCGCTCAATATTATTCCGTAACATCAATACTTTCTTCCATGAGATGATAAATGTAAATTGTAGAATCTATTCACCCGAGGGTTGGTCACGAAGTCAGTGCGATCCGGGTGAACACACGCGTGAAGCTTTGCTTCCCAACAACTTTCCCGGGGGACGTGGGGGAGGGAACACCCCCAGGTGGCGCCGCGCGAGGACAGGGGCCCTGACCTCTGAGTCTTGGCGGGGCACACAGGAGCCCGGCTTCGGGGTGCTTAGCTGGGCGAAGCCGCTCCAGGACCCGCGTGGCTCCAGCCTCCTGGGGGTACCTCGTGGAGCGGCTGCAGCGACCGCCCTGCCCCGCCGCTCCCTCCGCGCGCCCCCCGCCTGGCTCTGCCAAGACTGAGGGCTTCGCCATACGCCCGCGACCGGGCGTGTCCCCCGGCTTCGCTCTGCGAAGGTCTCGGGGCCCGGTGGGCTGGGGTTCGGGCGGGGTCCGTTCCTTGTGGTCCGCGGCTTTCAGGCAATTTCCAGGCAAAGTCCGGGGACAGCGGGAAAGGAACTGGTCTTCCTGCCTAGGGTCGTTTCCGGCGGAAGTGCCCCTTCATCGGACGGAATTATCCGTCTGTGCAAAAATGAAGCTTACTCGGTATCATGCGTGCTTTTTTGGGGGAAGGACAAAATAATAATAAAAAAAGACTTATTTTTTATAAACAACTTAATTGTCTTATTAATACTCAAATCCCTTGCTTCTGTTTTATTAAATGCAGTTTTCCACATAAAAATCCTTGAACTTGTAATGCGAAGGCTAAAGGTAACAGTATAATAAACAGTCAACCCAACCATATTTGCTCGCTTTGTAATAAGCTTGGCAACTTGGCAACTTGTTATTTTATCCTCCTTAAGTTCTGTACTGAGCAAGGCTGTTAAATAAGCCGAATTTCGCTCTTGTTGCCCAAGTTGGAGTGCAATGCTGCGATCTCGGCTCACTGCAACCTCCGCCTCCCAGGTTCAAGAGATTTTCCTGCCTCAGCCTCCGGAGTAGCTGGGATTACAGGCGCGCGCCACCAGGCCCTGCTAATTTTTTGTATTTTTAGTAGAGATGGGGTTTCACCATGTTGGCCAGGCTGGTCTCCAACTCCTGACCTCAGGTGATCCGCCCATCTCTGCCTCCCAAAGTGCTGGGATTACAGGAATGAACCACCGCGTCCGGACTCCCCTGTTTATTATTTAAAGTAAATATATTTAAACATTTCTTTAAAAAAAATTTAGACACTGTATATTTGATTAAAACATAGCAGCGCATAAAGCTATAATGTAACTCCCCCTTCTAATCTCCAGCCCACCTCCCAAGTACAACCAATGTCCACTGATGCCTAACTCTAGACTTTAGGCTACAGCAAACAATGCATTTTTAAAAACGTGGTTACAGCTTCTTTATAATTTGCTTTTAACATGTGAAGTTGTCTCCTAGTGGAGTTATCTGGTCAGGCTATAGAGAATGAAATCATTCTGTTCCTTAACTACATTGTTAAGGGTATATCATGTTTATTTAATCAATTCTTTGTGATGGATGTTTAGTTTGTTTCCAGTTTTCACTATTATAAATAATATGTGGTAAATAGCATTGTTCTTGCATCTTTTGATATCTGTGAGATTATTTCTTTGCACAAGCGCCAAAATAGAATTGTGCCGTTAAAATGTGTACAAATGAGCGTATTACAGAGGCTAACAAATAGTCCTCAAAGAGGCTTTATCAGTTTATGCCGTTTCTTCACATCCACTCCAACACCAGATAGCATGCATTTTTGGTAACCGATTAATAGAAATGCTTAAGGTTAAACATCAAATGGTGCACCATAAATTTCTTTAAAAAAATGCTTAAAGAATTACTATTCGTGTTTTAATGGAGAGAAAGTGGACCAAACATATATTCATTCTACAGACACTTATTGAAAACCTGCTGTGTGATGGGCATAATTGTAGATGCTGGCATAATAACAAGGAATAAAAGATAAAAATCCTCACTTTGGCATAGTCAATTGTTAAGAAACAATGGGATACTTAGGCCGGGCGCGGTGGCTCCCGCCTATAATCCCAGCACTTTGGAAGGCCGAGGTGGGCGGATTACGAGGTCAAGAGATCGAGACTATCCTGGCTAATACGGAGAAACCCCGTCTCCACTAAGAAAACAAAAACAAGAATTAGCCGGGCGTGGTGGCGGGCGCCTGTGGTCCCAGCTCCTCGGGAGGCTGAGGCAGGAGAATGGTGTGAACCCGGGAGGCGGAGCTTGCAGTGAGCCGAGATTGCGCCACTGCACTCCAGCCTGGGCGACAGAGCGAGACTCCATCTGGAAAAAAAAAAAGAAAAAGAAAAAGAAAAAAAAAAAAAAGAAACATATGGGACACTTAAAGACATCTAATAAAAGGGACTTTTACAAAGCCTGGGCAGAGTTGGTGAGGCGCCCCGTGACTGGTGACAGTGGAGTCATTATCACTGCCAGGGTTGATGTCAGGGGAAGGAAATGTTACCAGAACCTGGCAAAAAAGACCATCCCAACAGGAGCTATGGCCTTAAAAAGAGGAACATTGTTAGATTTGTTTCGCTTTTTTGGAGCTATTGTAAGCTTATGTTTTTTATTTCAGTTTCCAACTGTTTTTGGCTAATATGTAATATGGTTGATATTTATGTGTTGACTTTGCATTCAGTGATCTTGCTTTACTCACTTACTAGTTTTAGGATTTTTTTGTTTTTTTTTAAGATTCCTTGGGATTTTCTATGTAGACAACCATGCAATCTGCAAATAAGGATGGACTTATTTTTTCCTTTCTAATTTGCATGGCTTTTCTTTTCTTACATTATTGTAATGTCCAGGATTCCCAGTACGATGTTGAACAGTAGTGGGAAGATCAGACACCCTTACCTTGGTCCTGATTTTAGGGGAAAAGCATTTAGACTTTAGTCATTAAGTGTGATGTTAGCTTTAATTTGTAGTTCCTCGTTTTTTAGGTTGAGAAAGTTTTCTTCTAGCTCTAGTTTTCCGAGAGTTATGATTATAAATGGATGTTTGATCTGGTCAAATGCTTTTGCTGCATCAACTGGTATGATCCTGTGGTGTTTTATTTTTTCTTCAGTCTGTCAAAATTGCAGATAACATTGGTTGATTTTCAAATATTGAACCAGGCTTGCATCTGCTGAATAAACCACACCTAGTTGTAATGTATCTTTCTTTTTATGTATTAATAGCTGTGATTTACTGATATTTGTTGTAAACTTTTGTCTTCAGAAGGAGAATTGGTCTGTAGTTTTCCTTCTTTGTACTGTCTTTGGCTTTGATATCAGCATAATGCTGGCTTTGTAAAATGAGCTGGGACGTGTTCTCTCCACTTTTGTTTTCTGGAATAGTTTATGTAAAACTCATGTTATTTCATCTTTAAAAGTTTGGTATAATTACCCAAGGAAGACATCTATGCCTGGAGATTTCCTTTTCAGCATGTTTTAAACTATGAATTCCATTTCTTTAATATAAAACTACTTAAATCATCTATTTTATAGTGGGCGAGTCTTCTTTGTGTTTTTCAAAGAATTAGAATATTTAAGTTATTGAATTTTGGATAGACTTGTTCATATTATTCCCTTATTAAGCTTTTAATGTCTGTAGGTTCTATAGTTAGAACCCCTCTTTTCTGCCTAATGTTGGTAATTTACATCTTCTCTTCATCTTTGTCAATCTTGCTAGGTGTTTATCAATTTTATTTATCTCTTCCAAAACCTCCCACAACTTTTGGGTTGATTTTCTCTTTTGTTTTAATGTTTTCAATTTTCTTGATTCCTCATATCTTTGTCATTTCCTTTCTTCTTCTAGCTTTTAGTTTATTTTGCTTCCCTTTTTCTGTCTTGTAGTACAAACTTACTTTGTTAATTTGAGACTTTTCCTTTTCTAACATAAACATTTAATGTTCTAAATTTCTTATAAGCACAGCTTTAGGTGCATCCAATAGATATTATGTTGTAAATGATGAAAATTGTGAATGGATGAGTGATCAATCAATAGCTCTGCTGGTAATTGATTTACTTTTCTTCAATAAAGTTGCATAAACCAATGGAAAAAAATTAGACCATAATCCATTTTGTGTTAATTTTTGTGTATGATATGGAACATATAGTAAGGCTTGAGCTTTTTTTCCCTCTACGAATATCTAATTGTTCCATTACTATTTATGGAAAAGACTATCCTTCCCTTGTTGAGGTATCTTGGCACCTCTATAGAAAATCAGTTGTTCAGACCATAAATGTTCATTTTCTGTTTCTGGACTTCATATTCTCCTCCATTTATTTATATGTCAATTCTTATGCCAATATCACACTATTGTAAATACTGTAGTTTTATATTAATTGTTTAAATAAAATGTAACTCCTCTAGCTTTGTTTTATTTCATAAAGTTGTTTTGGTTATTTAGGTCTTTTGCATTTCCACATAAATGTTAAGGCTTCCTTGTTAATTTATACAAAAGAGATTGTATTGTATAAAATGAACTATTTTGGAAGTATGAGTGTGT